AAAAAAATAAATACTTCAATGGTGCATTTCATGAACTCCAAACCACCTGAGCCACCTGGGAGAAGGAAACCACATTTTCCAAATCCCTCCCCCTTTGCTCTTTCTCTTTCCTTTTTTCACTTCACTTAGCCTTTTCTACCTGATTTTCTCCCAACACAGTGAGTTCTAGTACCTAATGGATTAGCAGTGATCTTCACAGATTGCTCACACCTGCAGTTCTGTCGACTCTCTTCTTCCACTTTGTTCAATCAGCCATACCTTGGTAAGTCCATCAGCTTCCAAAATGTCATGCAAACTGAGACCCACCTGACAACTCAAGATCTGACACCTGGTTGGAAGGGGAAATGGGGAAGAAGATGGACTTAGGTGATTAAAATGGCTCTGAGAGATACTTAAAAAACCAAAAAGGGAACAACAGTATGTGATGCATACATCTGGAGAAAAGAACAAACAGTGGAACTGATTCATACAAACATTGTTTTTTAAAAAGAGATCCAAAGAGGAAAATGCTATGTGTACTTCTTTTTGTGTTCTATGGAGCCAACTATAACTGAATATTGCAAACACAGCATTAATTTAAGTCCATATATATGTATGTATGTGCCTTCATTCTGCCTATATACTTAGGGTGACCCATGCATTTCAGAGGGTTTCCTTAGGCAAGGAATACTCAGGGGTGGTTTTGCCTGTTCCTTCCTCTGAAATACAGCTACAGCAACTGGTATTGATAGATGGCCTCCCATCCAAGTACTAACCAGGGCTGACCCTGCTGAGATTCCAAGATCAAACAGAATACAGTGCCTTTAAGGAATTTAGATACTCAAGTCCTCATATCTATATCTATCTGTCTGTCTATCTATCTATCTATCTATCTATCTATCTATATATACACACACACATGTTGTTTTTGTTGTATGCCTTCAAGTCATTTTTGTGTTACACAACCCTGTGACAGAGTTTCTGGGGCTGAGAGTGTGTGACTTGCCCAAGGTCACCTTGTGGGTTTCCATGGCCTAGCAGGGAATTGAACCCTGGTCCCCAGAGTTGTAATCCAACACTTAAACTACTACACCATGCCGATTCGTATATGTATATGTATATGTATATGTATATGTATATGTATATGTATATGTATACGTATACGTATACGTATACGTATACGTATACGTATACGGGATAGATAGATAGATAGATAGATAGATAGGACACATATGCAAAGTTATATGTGTCCTATCTATCTATATATCGAAAGTTATATGCATCCAGTGAGGTGCTACTGGAAGGCTTAATGACAGGACTCTTCCATCTGTACTGCTCAGTAGTATTACGACATTTGAATGCAGTCTTAAAGCCCTAAATAAATAAAAATACAACATATATACCAAGGTAACATTAAAATTGAACCACAAAGAATGTAACCCTTTTGTTCCTTCCCAGCTAGATAACTAAAAATCTCACTTTGTTATTCAAGGAGGAAAGGGGGTGAGGTCTAGTCCTTAGCCCTGGTGACTGCACTTCCTCTTCAGCAATCCCCATCTTTCTGAACTCAGCTAGAAAGTTCAGTACTTCCTTAGGGTTTCTCTAAGCACTGGGCCAATTCATTTGCACAAAGCATATCTTTACATACAGAGAGTGACTGTATTTTTCCCCTTCTACCACCCATGTATTGTACCCTGATTTTTCAGGGTATGCAGCAGATGCAAGGTGTCTATTGCCAGATGAAGTAAAATGCCCCCTTTAAGTGCATCGAATGTCATGTGTAGCATTCAATGCACAAAGCATGTGTGGTGCTTTAGATCATGATTTAATTGAAGCTAGTGTCAGAGCTTGGAAAAGTTACTTTCTTGGACCTCACACTGGGAGGAAAGCATAAAAGTGAAAATAAATAAATAAATAAATAGCATGACATCTCCCAGAATTCTCAAAATTCCAGGTATTGTAGTCCAAGAAAAGAGTTTTTCCAAGCGCTGATTGTTTTGCGCTTACTTGTTCTGCTATTTTGCCAGCTTCCATTGGTTTTATGAATGCATAGGATCTTCCATAATTTAACATGACTTCACAGCCATACCTTTAACAGCAATCTAAGACTGCCAGTGTGGTGTAGTGGTCTGAGCATTGGACTATCACTCTACTAGAGAAAGGGTTCAATTCCCTGCTTGGCTATGGAAACCCATTGGGTGACCTTGGGCAAGTCATACACTCTTCCACAGAAAACCCCATGACAGGTTCACTTTAGGGTCACTATTAAGTTGGAAACTACTTGAAGGCATACAACAACAACAACAACAACACAGAGACATTAAAGAAGTTACCCCCTGCCACCACCACTGCCATTAATCCCTCTTACCTTTATCAACATGGGAATTGGTAACTGAGACTGAACAAAACCTTTTATCCCCCTCACCTTTCAAATTAAAATCTCTGAGCAGATGTTTTTTTTTTTGTTGTTGCAAGTGTTGGAAAGCAAAGACTTTAGACATAAATGTGTGATATGTGAATATGAAATGGTTGCATTGGCTTTTATTTAATGCCAGATAAATAGTGCTGCTAAAATGTCAGCCAAAAAGAAGCAATTGGCAATATTCTGGTTTTTCAATAAGCAATCAAGTACAGCTTATTGACACATAAGAAGTCAGAAGAACTAAGTGCTGACTAAGCAACCAGTAACATGGTGCTAAAGCACAAAATTATTTTTGCAACTTTTCAGCAATAAGTGAGGAACCTGCCTTGTGTTCTTCCTGTGTGGTCCCTCTCTTTCTCTTGTCTCAGCATACCTTTTTTTCAGCTGTTATCTTCCTGACCTACATACCTGGCATAGACGCTCTCAAGCTTATCAATCAAAGCTTGAAGCAAACTGGAGCTGGTTTAGCTGCTTCCTGCTTGAGCTAACAGGAAGTGAAAATTGGTCCTTACCTCCTGACAGGTAAGGATGAAATCCTTATAGAGAACCAATTAATGAGGAAGGCGACAGTGAATGACTGGTTGATCTCATGATGGAAAATGTTTCCCTTTCCCTTTTCTTTTACCCAAAATACAGTGGTACTGTAGGCTGGTGTTGCTTAGTGCAGAAGGCACAATCCTGCTTTATGCTAGAAGCTGCCTCACTCTGTCTCTAAAGCAGGCTCCTTTCCTAAAGCAGCAAATGCTAACCAATAACATTAGCTACAAACAAGGCAATGACCACAATATAATCTTCCATTCGTTGACTGGTGTTTACACACTGAATTCATCAACAGCCATCCCAGTTTAGACATGCATCTATGAGCCCCACCAGATAAAATAAGACTCTAAAAGTCCTAGGTTTTGTTCCTGTGCAAATAAATTTTGTTTTGGAGATCCACATGATGTTTTCTTCACCTCAAAGTGTTTTCTGGAAACTCGGGGCATTGTCAAGGACTTTTCATTTGTACTTCCCAGGTCAATTCAAATTAACCCAGTATTTTCCAAAATGAAATTTATCTCTATGCATATATGTGCCTACAAGTCATCTGTTGATCTACCCATGAATTTCAAAGGGTTTTCTTAGGGTTTTCATAAGGTTTTCTTTTCTTTTCTTTTCTTTTCTTCCTAAGGAATAATCAAAGGTGGTTCTGCCACTTCCATCCTCTGAAAGATAGCCTATAGGATCTATCATTGTCAGTCTCCCATTCAAGTACTAACCAGGGTTGATCCTGCTTAGTTTACAAGCTCAGAAAGGATCTGACATCTTTAGGGTGTTTAGGCTAACCATCTTACCTGACTAACCATATGCTGTATATTGAGTCTCCTTTATCCAAAATGCTTGGGACCAAGATTGTTTTGGATTTGGATTTTTTTCTTTTTGGTGTTGGTGTTGTTTGGATTTTGGAATGTCTGTATTTGCAAACATGTACATGAGGAGATATCTTGGAGATGGGACCCAGGTCTAAACACAAAATCAATTTATGATTCATATACACCTTATACACATAACCTGAAGGTAATTTTATACAATATTTTAATAACTTTGTGCATGAAACCAAATTTGTTTATTCTGAACACTCAGAAAGCAAAGGTGTCACTATCTTAGCCACTAACGAAAAAAAGGTTTTGATTTTTTGAAAATGTTATATTTTGGAATTCCAGATGAGGGAGACTCAACCTGTACATGATCCCATATAATGTTCTAGGAAACAAATATATGTAATGTACCCAGAGTTTCAGGTTTATTTCAATTATGCCCATAACCATTATTACCAACAATAATCAGGGGCCAAAAGAAATGTGATGCTGCCCCATGAAACTTAAATGATTGGAGCATAACCAGGGACTAGAACAGAGCTTGGACATGTAACATACTACAAGCAATAGAGTTTCTGAACATCTGTAGCAAAGCACTTTGACCTTAACTGCTGAATAATACCGGTAATAAAGAAGAATCAATGGAAATTGATGAAAAACAGTTTCTGGAATGTAGATATGACATGCAAAAGAGAAGGAGGAAGCAAACGAGGGAGGAAGGATGGATAGAAACCCAAGATATTTCAAAAAATAGTTTGGATGCAATCTTGGGAATATGCAGTAAAACCAAAGCAAAAAGAACTGGAAACTCTTGGAGTTTACCAACCCCTCTGTTCTCACTACTATTGCATTAATGGAGGGCATACATACCAATTTGGGAGAACTCCCTACCAAATGTCCCTTCATTAGTTTGACTGGTTATTGCTGGCTCCTTGTGTTCCCTTCTGCTCTCATCCTTAACCAATCCTCTCTGGTCTATGACCTACCCAGCCTGCCTTTCATTTCTGTATGTGGGTTGTTGTTTTTAAATGCAATTCTGGAGTTATGTGAATGTGGTTTAATCCAAATGAACAGGTTGTTCTGGACTACCAAAGGGGAGGGGGACTGGGGAGAGAAGGAGACACTAACACAATGTGACTGTCAATATCGCAACTACCCTGGCAGTCACATTTCACACCTGAGGAATATCAGTGCTTTGGGGAGCTTATTTTCCATCAATGGCAAGGTGCAAAATAACCATGCTTCCAGGAAAATACAGCAATAAAAGGGAGATCATAATTTGCGATAGGTATCACCAAAGGCCCTATTACCCAACTTTTATGGTGGCTTAAAACCTGCATGTGATCAAGTCCTTGATATTTCTGGAGACTTTTTATGCTTCTGGATGAGCCCTGAATTGCAGAACAGTACAGGTCAGTTATAAAGTTTGAGGATTACCACTCTGAATACTGATTTATATTCTGTTCTTACAGTTGAGTCGATAGGATCAATCAGGTGGCCAATGTCTAAGCAACAAATGTGACAGTCCATGCTTCTGATGCAATCACAGTATTTGATTCACCCCAGCCTGGCATCTGAGGCTTCCCCAAATACTGTCCTTGCATTTCTAAACTTTCCTGAATTCCATAAGGGCTAGAAACTCGCATTTGATTAACCATAACAACTGAATATTCACCCAACTACCATGTATTAAATATTGCTGTGCCAAAGCCCAGATTTTCAAACTGCAGACACACGTAGCCTTGCTTATATTCTGTGGCTGGAGATCAGAGAAAGACTTACTACACTCATTTGTAAAGCAACACAGAAACCTCAGGCTTTTGCTTAGAGACGTGCGTGCATTTTTGTTTCATTTCCTTGTAATTTAATTCTCCTGGAAACACATAAATACACAGTGATGAGTAAATGGTTTAAGGGTTTACAGTCAAATTCCAGAGTTGGTTCCAGGATGTAGTGACATCAAACAAACAAGTCAGGTGGAAACAGAACTTATTTTCACATAAGGTTTTGTTGTACATGAACACAGAAAATAGATGGGAGGAACAAAACCATGCAAAGAAATCAAAAGTAAGTTTGGGGTTGGTTCCCCTTGTAAATTTGGATCAATATCAGAAAAAAAACAACAGTTGTGATTTCTAGCTAGCTAAAATGTTCCTTGAGTAGGCAGAAGTTTCTAAGACAAAAGCTGCTATTCTGTTGGTTAATTCCAAGTAGAGTAAACCCATTGAGTCAATTGTTGAATGGTGAGTCAACACATAGGTAAATTCCATTAATTCAATGGATATCCTCTAGTCAAGAGTAACAACAATACTTGGGCACAAAGAACATTAGAGTTCTTTGCAGTTTCTCATTTGGGCCATCAACTTTCTAATGGCTAAGATTACACTAACCCGCCCTGATTGCAGAGCAGAGGGGTGGGCTATAAATAAAATTTATTATTATTATTATTATTATTATTATTATTATTATTACTACACTGGACTGAGTGTAACTAGAGGTTGAGTATATCAAGCAAAGCAAAGCAGCTTCATTTATATACCACTTCATACTGCACTATGGAGCATCTAAGCAGTTTACAACTGTAAGCTCATTGCCCCCCAGCAGCTGGGTACTCATTTTAGCAACCTCGGAAGGATGCAGGCCTGAGTCTAGCCTGTGCCCTGGCTAGTATTGAACTCACAACCTTGTGGTCTGTGAGTGAGTGGCTGCAGTACTGAAATTTTAACCACTGCGCCACCAGGGCAGAAATGCTTGGGACCAGAAGTATTTTGGATTTCAGATTTTTCTGGTTTTCAGAATACCTGTATTTGCTTATACTACATGATGAGATATCTTGTCGATGGGACCCTGGCCTAAACACAAAATTTGTTTATGTTTCGTATACAAATTATACACATAGCCTGAAGGTAATTTTATCAATATTTTAAATAATTTTGTGCATGAAACAAAGTTTGTTTACATTGAACTATCATAAAGCAACTATCTTTCATATTTTAAAAAAAATAACTAGTACAAGATGAGGGACCCAGTTTGGGACCACGGCATGAAGGGAGGTGGATTAATTTCTTTGTCCCTGACATCATTCCAGTCAGAACTTGACCCATGTCTGATTCTTATAATGGCACATTCTGTTGGGAAAGTCAGAGAGAGAGAGAACACTCAAACTCTGAAGTGGAGTAATCAAAGTGGGAAGGCAGAAGTTGAGCAAGAACCAGTCCCACACATACTCATGGGACCTAACACATGAAAGAAAGAAGTTTATTCTTCTTTGTAAAACATATACAACGAATTTTACTTCCAGTACTTATCCATAATCAAATACATGATTTAATATAGAATTGGGAAGATGAGAGAAAATGGCTGCAGGCTAAAGTGATATAGGAAGAGAGTGGATGTTGAAAAAGCAAGTAAACTGGAAGTCGCCAAACATGTAGACTAGCAATTAGTAAATAATGTAGGGGTTGGTTCCAGGATCCCTCCATGGATATCAAAATCTGTGGGTGCTTAAGTCCCATTCAATACAATGGCATCGTAAAATGGTGTCACATATAAAATGGCAAAATGGTTTACTTTTTGGAATATATATATATAAATGGTTTCAAGCCATGAATGGTTGAATCTGTGGATTAAGAATCAGTGGATAGAGAGGGGTGGCTGTATAAGGATACAAAGGTTACTAACTATGTGGCTAGGGGGTAGCATTGAATAGAAACATTGGAGCAAAAAAAGAGGGGAAATTGACACCAAATTCAAGGATAAATAATTTTTAAAATAACTCTTCTGGTTTGTTTTCCTCACAAATCATTGAGCTGATTTTTCAACATACAATGGGCCCTTGCTATCCACTGGGGTTTGGTTCCAGGATCCCCCCATGGATAACAAAATCTGTGGATGCTCAAGTCCCATTAAATACAATGGCATAGCAAAATGGTACCCTTATATAAAATGGCAAAATCAAGGTTTGCTAATTGGGATTTATATTTTTTAAAAAATATTTGCAAGCTGTGGATACTTGAATCCATGGATAAAAAAAATCTGTGGATAAGGAGGGCTGACTATACTTATGAAGCCTTCATTATTGTTTTGTGGTGCAGTGATTAAATGCCTGTACTTCAGCCACTCAAATCAAAAACCACAAGGTTGTGAGTTCAATACCAGCCTAGCATCCTTCTGTAGGTTACTACAATGAGTATTCAGCTTGTTGAGGGCAATCAGCTTACACATTGTAAACCATTTAGGGAGTGCTTAAGTGCACTGATAAGTGGTATAGAAATGTGCTTGCTATTTATGTTTTGTGCTTTCAAGTCATTTGTGAGTTATGGTGACCCTAAGGTGGACTTATCACAGGGTTTTCTTGGCAAGAGTTGTTAAGAGATGGCTTGACATTGCCCTCCTCAGAGGATGAATGTGACTTGCCCAAAGTCACCCAGTGGATGTTCATGGCTAAGCAAGGATTTGAACCCTGAACTCTTGGGGTCCTAGTCCAACACTCAGATCACTACACCATGCTGGCTCTCTTGTGAAGCTTATGTTTTGCCAGATTTACAAAGGCTGGCTATATGTGGGAGCTAGATTGCCCCTGGATCAGAGACTAGAGAATCCAGAAGGATGAAGCATAATAGAACTAGCTGTTCCTGGTCTATGCAAATTGCTCATAACATTAAAGATATCCTATATCTATGTAAACAGATTGGATTACTAATATCCGAGTCCAGTGGTCATTTTGAATCACCATAACTATTCTGTAGTATTAGTAGACAGGCATCATAGGTTGTTTTGAATCACCATAACTATTCTGAAACAACTCAACCCTTGAGGGGAAGAAAGCAGAATGATCACAAAAACACAAGTGTAGGTCTTTCCTGCCCCCCTCCTGCTCTTTTGTTGAAAAAAAAAAAATTAAAGCCCTTTTTCCCAGACTTTAACTAAACTTTATCCACCATTGTCAGTCAAGGCAGACAGCTGAGAGCAATATTAGAACAGGTAATTGTGCAGATCCATCAACAGCTTTTGTCCTGAAGCTACTGAGTCTTATACTAAAGTGGGCACAGAACAGCACTGTAGTAGATTAAAGGCGAAAGATCTTTCTTCAGTTGCTTCCCTGCTTGCCAGCTGTTATTTTCTACAGGGGTGTGTGTGTGTGTGTGTGTGTGTGTGTGGAGGGGGGGAATGTGAACAGGCACTACCATAATATCTATACGGATAATCTAACCTTTCTGCAAACTATGTTCCCCTCCCTTGCCCCACATCGTGAAACACTTTATTCTTCTCTTTTTAACTTATTTCTATCTTGTCATCTGGCCCTCACATTAATTATGTGTGCACAGTTCTTTATCTATACATTTTTTGAGGGGAATGTTTTTTCTTCCCTTCCTTCCCCCTCCCTCACCTTCTTTTTAAACACACAGACACATACACACACCACTCTTTGATCCCAGACAGAGGAATTCATAAAAAGGTTTGTGGTGGGAGCTTAGGTAAACACATTGGAAGGAACAGACAGATTTTATTAACATCTAATTGTCCAGCACTGGCATTGACAAATGTGCTGATAAAGACCCATTGCCAAGTTGCAAAGAGCAGCTACTATTGTTATGGGAGCTTTGGCTGAAATCCATTTGGTTGAGGAAGACCTACTGAATCAATTAAATTTACCTAAGAGTTAATTTAATAGATTCCCATTGATTGAATGGCTCATGATATAGTGGTTTGAGTGTTGGACTATGACTCTAGAGATCAGGGTTCGATTCCCAGCTTGGCCATGACCATGGACAAGTCATATGCTCTCAGTCTCAGGAGAAGGCAATGGCAAACCTCCTCTGAACAAATCTTGTCAAGAAGACCCCATGATAGGGTCACCTTAGGGTCTCCATAAGTCAGAAATGGCTTGAAGGTACACAAGCAGCAGCAGCAGCAGCAGCTCTCCTCCATCGTAACCTGCTACCATCCTGGCACTGCAGGGAGAGAAGAAGCAGCATGCACAACTCCCCCACGTCTAGCCCTAGAAATAAATGGAGGACCCTCCCTCCATTTCAACTGCCACCATCCAGGCCTTGGAGGGGAAGAAGAACTGGTAATATCTGCTAGACTTGATCCTCTTCCCCACTGCCATTCCCTTCTTTTTTTGTGTCATGTCTCCTTAGATTGTAAGCCTAAGGACAGGGAACTGTCAAATTAACAATTTGTAAATCATGTGAGAGTTTTTATGGCTGCAGAGTGGGGTATAAACACTTAAAATAAAATAAAGTTAGATTTGTATGCATGTGCAGAATGTAGGGTTCCCAGCTTTTCAATCAGTGGAGCTTATCACATGGCTTATTAAACCAGCTTACCTCTTCCAACTTAAATTTTAATTTGGCTGGCATCCTGATACTATCACAGGGATTTTGCCACCAAATCCACCACCTAGTTCCATCCCATGTCCATCCCTGCTCCTAGGGGTGCTCAGCGTGCCTCTTTTAGAAACCAGGAGTTTTCTGACTTAAGAAAATGGCTGCCAGAGTGCTCCTGGGAGCAGGGATGGATCCAGACAGTGAATTCACTGGCAAAATCCCTGCAATAGTATCAGGATGCTGACTGAATTGAAATTTAAGTCAGAAGAGGTGAGCTGGTTTAATAAGCCATGCAATAAGCTCCAGCCCAATTATAGGTTGTGAAATCCTCCTCATCTGCCAAATCATCATCATCATTACCATGCCACTAATAACTAAAATACTGAGAAGAGGAGAAATGATGATGACAACAATGACAATGATGATGATACAAACATATAGCTTTAAAATGTTGGGAATGTAGTATATCCCAGTCATGATTTCAGGGTTTGATTTGGAAGGGGGCAAAGGAGAAAGATATGGAGAAATAGATGGGGGAAGAATAATGAAGATGCTTAGTGTCTGTGATGGCCCTGTCTCTAAATTACTCAACAACCACATTTTGTGGGTAAACATAAAGGACTAGGAGAAATGAGGACAGAAGGAGAAAGAAAATGAAAGAGAATAAAGTATTGGTGACAAATGTAGCAATGAGAATTGTGGTGGGAAAAGAAGAAAGAATGGGACAGGGGAAGGGGGACTAGGAAAAGAGGGAGAAGATGAGTGTAACTAGGAGATGTGAGGAAAAGGGAATGAGGGAGGGGGAAAGGAAGGAAAAAGAAGATGTTTGGCCAGGAGTTTTTGGTGGGAGAGGGCAGAAGGAGAAAATGGAAGAGGTAGGAAGGAGAGAAGAGAAGGTGAAAATGTTTAGCCAGGAACTGAAGGGGAGTAACAGAATAAGAGAGAAGATGAATGTAGGCAGGCATTGTGGCAGGGAGAACAAGAAAAGAAAAGAGAGAAGGAAGTAGAGACATTTAGCCAATGCTTGAGGAAAAGAGAAAGGATGAGGAAAAAAAGTGAAGAATTAAAAGGGAAAGGAATCAAGAATCCAAGGAGAGTTGAAAAAGAAGGGCATTCATAAATGCTTTTTGCTAATAGTGGTACAACCAACATGTGGCTGTAACCAAGGAAATAAACTGTATTGTAGCATTCACCATCTGTATAGAGTCAGAGAAGTGGTGACAGAACTGGGAAAATTAACAGTAAAATATTGAAAGCCACAAAGCAGTAGTAGCTCAGAATTTCCCTGCATTGACTGTCTTCTCCCATCCAGTCCTGTTGCCGGCTACAGTTTGAGACACTTTGGGGAAGGGGGTCAGATAGATAAAGATAAACTATTTTGTGGAAACTCCTGGTATTGCCAAGGACTTTCCTTTTCTATATCCAGGATCAATGTCAATTAACCCAGTATTTTCTGAAACGAAATGTATCTCTGTACGTGTATGTGTCTTCAAGTCACCTGTTGACTTATGCCGATGCCATGAATTTTTAATAGGTTTTCTTAGGCAAGGAATAGTCAAAGGATGGCTTTGCCAATTCCTTCCTCTGAAATACAGCCTACAGCACTTGTTATACATTGGCAATCTCCCATCTGAGTACTAACTAGGGCTGACCCTGCTTCAAGTGCAGACAGAATCTGGTGCTTTTAGCGTATTTGAGCTAACCAGCTACATAATCCCATATAATGTTCTAGGAAACAAATATATGCAGTGTACCCAGATTTTCAGGCTTATTTCAAATAACCAGCACAACCAACAGTCAACAAGGACCAAAAGACATGTGCTGCTGTCTCATGAAACTAAGCTGATTGCAGCATAACCAGAGAGGACCTTATCACACGGGGCCCAAACCAGACAGAGTCCAAACGAAATCCCGACC